TCTATTTTTAGCTTCCCAACCGACCAGGTATACGAGTACGACCAGTGGACCAATGAAGGCCTCTATCTGATAATTAATATGCATGTATACTAACTTCGTGCACTATATAAGCGCTTATCCCGCCAAATAAGTTATCCATCAGCTTTTACCTTCACGGTTTATGAGGTCTAACCATTTATGAAGTCATCGAGTTATACGATGTCTTGATTACTATTATAATAATATTCATTATTTTATGATACTGGATACCTGGTTTCTTTACTGTTATCCATAATAAAACATCATTACTCGAATCCAGCGTTTTTCTGAAACGATAGACCCTGTGACATATTTAAATATGATCATTTTCACTGATCTCATTTACTCAGGGAAAGTACTCAGGAAATAGATCAAGTATGCAAAATTACTTATTTGACATTTAATTGAAATATAAGAATCATACTAATATTAGTAATAAACGGTTAACTTACAGAAGTAAGAGAAAGTCAGTCTCTATGAAAATGTCAAAGTCAATTTGTCTTATCCACAGATACACATCATAAAGGACCAAACTCTGGACAGAGAATACCCAGAAAACCAAGAACCATGAACCAATCCCCAAGTAAAACACAACGTCAAACACCAAATGAATGAAATTAAAAGAAACATCCAACATTAAGCCTGGATATAATTACTGAACTTAGGCCATTTCTACCTATATACACTAACTGACAGATCATGGGTGAATGCATACAAATGGCTTTAGGCTGATTAATTATATCATTCAATATGTGCATTTCAAATCAAGTTAAATATAATAAAATAAAGTTGTAATACATGTAATACATGAAAAAAATATATACATGTATGCACAGAAAATATGAATCTGCCACAAATATATGAAGATAACAGATACCCCCAAAACGAAAGTGAAAGTTAAAACAGAATCATGCCAAAATTTCACAGGAATGCTGGATTTAAATGCTCAGAAGTCAGGTTCTGGTAAATACACCGAAAGTACATGGACATGATTTTTGGAAATCATGGGTAAAGACGAAGTAAATCTCGAAACTTTGAAACTAGATTATCCACAACTTAAAAGAGCAGAAATATACTCTAATGACAGAACTTTTTTACCAAACGGCAGTTTAATAATTTCAGGATATTCTGTTCCAGAATGCTATCTTTACGACAAGGACTTAAAGTTCGTTAAGAAAATCGTTTAGATCTGAAAGAAGAAGAATTATTTGTCAGCTCTCAAGGTGGTAAATCCATTCAAGTATCATTTTCAGAGGAATTCAAAAGGCGAGGAACAATTCAAATTGACAAAGGTTGCCATGTTTTAGGTAGTTTCAGAGACAATCTGTATGGTGCCTGTTGCTCTTCAATCACTGAATTCGATGATCAAGAAAATGAACTGCGAACGTTTACGACATAAGGAGACGTTTACAATGTGACTGTGGATGACAAAGGCGACATCAGTAACAGTTGTACCAACACTCGAAACAGTTGCGTCAAAGCCCTATCACAAGAAGAGACTATCCTCTGGACGTATAGAAGTACTAATTTAGGTTATCCCTATTGGAATTGATGTGGATTCTAAAGGAAGCATATATTGGCTCGAAAAATCAGCAGAAATATTCATATCCTCAGTAAAGACCTTTCATCGATCACTGTCATAGAAAACACATTTGCCCTGTATTACATTAAGATTAACGAAAACAAATAAAAATGTTACATGGCATATGGCATATAATGGAGAGTTCCATGTACATGAAATGAAGTCATAAACTGACAGTAAAGTAACCGAAAGTGCATCATGTGCTTAAAGACAAGATTTTTAAAAACGTTTTTATTTTAATTTGATTTTTTAATTGAATCATTGTTGTGACGCAGGAACAGTTATATTTAGTTAAATATTGTTGAGGGTTTTGGAATGTTAAGTTCGAAGAAAGGAGGTACATGTACTTGGACTAATGTCCCTATGTTATAAATTTAATGTAAAAGTAAAATAGACCGACATTGATTTTCATTGATGACAAAAACATTAAATTCCCATAGAAAAGATTTTGAAGTATGAAGCTGTTGCCAGGATAAGAGGAGTAAAAAGGGAAAAAAAAGTGACCTGGAATGAAAAAAAAAACAAACAAAACTATGAGTCGGGCAATTTGAAGTCATTCTGTCGGGAGAGGGCTACCAAGCAATTTTTTAAGATGGTCTAAGCATAAAGTATCTTTCTATGTGTTTTTGATAGGGGAGAACCATATTTAAATAATATCATCATAGTTGTAAATAATTCTTTTCAACAGTAAAATGTGCAAAATCTGTCGACCAAAAATTATTCAAAAATATTTTCATAGATGGACATATTGTCATTCGTGTAGTCTTGAGAGCTCGAATTATAGGTTTGGTTGTCACCATTACGATCAGGTTCATCAGAAACGTAATGTGTGTGTTTTCTATGTTTGAAACCGATTTTCTGCTACATTCTTCTTGAGTTTTCTGAGTTCCGTTTTGTTTTCGTTTCTTGCACACAACATGAACTATTAAGCAAACAAGAGTGATGACGAAAAGCGATGAACCGGATAGGGCAATGATGGATGGGGTCTTCACAATCCAAATATCTGTTTAATTTAAAATAAAATAAATAAATTTGTAAGAATTTATATGTATACATCTATTGACGGTCAATTAAAATGTTATGGATTGCATCAATATCATTATTAAAGAAGTTCAAAAAGGGGATCATCAAAGTCTTTGAAACGAAAGATATAAGAAATCGTTTACAGGTTAATTTAAGGGGAAGAGTATTCCTCTTGATTACATGACAAAGCAGGGCATTCAGTGTGTTCTAAAATCTTACCATACTATCTAACTATTTATTCTTTAATCTTTATTCACTAAAGGATATAAAAGAAAATTTTAATTTATTTCGCTTCACAGTTTTTTTGGGTACAACGAACGTTCCAGGAAAAACAAGAATCCTTTACCTTCAAGTTCCTCTGCAGTGTACACTAAAAACAATAAAAATTTAAGCGTTTAATAAAAAATCATTTTCGGAGAATAATTATATCTATTTTTTACATAAGATTATAACATAACATTGCAGGATAAATTTTTTTGGAAATACGTGTAAGTATTTATCGTTTATAATTAATTAGATTTATTATTACATATTTCATATTATTTTTAAATTAAAAAAAAAGTAAATTATGTTACGTTTCTGGTATAGTGTCCCGCTCCGTCCAGTCTTACAACCATTCCTGCAAGTTCCATCAATCTTTGAGCAGGTTGTGTTGTTTTTACAGTAGCCACAGCTTAATGGGCAATTTTGACCATATTTATAATCTTGACATTCTAAAAGGTATTTTATATTCAATTTACCAATATATATCCACAAAACAAATGGCAATTATAACAGAAAAGCGTTGGGACTTTAGTTTTAAACAGCCTCTCGTATTCTAGTAATTTATAAACCTGATAATCATTTTGATTGTTAGTATGACGCTGAAACATTCTGTGTCGAATAAATGAATGACATTTTGGGGGATTACCAAACTTAAAAGTAATATAGATGCTGACGAAAAAAAAACTTGAAGTATTTGAATGTTGATTCCTCATTTCAGAAAAATAAACACGGTAAAAATACTTTAATTGAAAAAGATGACATTTTTTTAATCGAATCATTATCAAAGAAAAATGTACAGCGACAGCCGGGAAGCTGTACGTTTAGTCATTTAGGTGTATAAGAAAATTATCTGTCCATAAAAGAATCCTTAGAATTTTATTGAAATGATTTACATTTGTTTCTTTTGCTTCAGAAAAGAAAAATAGGAAGAGACTTTACGCAAAAGAACAATCATGCGATGTCTATAGATATGAAGTTAAAAGGTGTGAACATATTTGGCTTAAAACTTTTATCAAAAGCATCAGTAAATATTTCACAAGAAATGTTGTACATCTACATGAAAACATGGTTATTATGATAACCACACTACGATAGTTTCGTAATTTTGAAAGATATTGAAACAGACGCAGGGGGAATAAGGAAGCATACAGAATATTCTACCTTGGCTAAATCAGTTCTGCATTATGACGTCATAGTAGGCAAGATGACGCAATTTTATAAATCAGTTTTCGTAATATTGGTAATTAGCAATGTAATTTAACTCTAGAAAATGATTAGAAACGTGTAAACATTAACAAAAATTAACTGTTTTTATTTTGTTATGCTGTAACAGTCATTATGATTGAAATCTACCACCGATGACGTCATATGTGTTCATCAAGTAATCTGGAAATTGATCATGTAGTGTAAAGAGAATTTGGCTAAGACGGCATGTCCAAAGATACATAAAATTGAGTTTAAAAGGAAATATCGGAAATACTCTGTTAAATTCATATAGAGTTCAATTAATTAAATAGGTATGCTAATTATTTTCATCGATTATATTCTCTTTCGAAGACAGTCAGCTATATTACGTATCCCGGTCGGCCTATTGTCCGTCATTCTTGACCAAAAAATGCAACAGAACAACAATAAGCTGGATATTTCAAAACATACGATTTGTACAGATTGAAAGTTTGTGTTTTGACAAACTTGGAAAGTGCTGCTAGAATCCCGAGTTATGCAAGGTTGTATGAAAAATCTCGATTCATATGTATAAAATTCAAAACAAAGGGTAAGGTTTCGTGCAAATGTGTGGACTAAATATTTTACGGACAAGATAGTTGGATTCTAGCAGCACTTTGTGGACAAAAACTCCGGGGTATTGTTGTTCTGTAAGCCTTTTCATTAAGGAAAATTTTGCTATTAATTAAAGTCACGTGATGCCGTGGCGGTGATGCACGTCTTTGCGTTAGACACGCTTATATCTGAATGCAATAGTAATTAACAGTTTACGTTTATCAGTGGTTTTGGTAATTTATTAAACTAAATTTTTCTCAAAAAGTCTAAATTTTCCGAAAAACTACTTATATATGCTTCCTTAACATACCCGCAGATGGTTTTATTAATTTACCATTACAGGTTTGACCTTGCCAGTTTTCTTCACACCCTCGTGGACAGATTCCGGTGTGCTGATCACAGTGGGTCCCATTTACACACTTTCCACATAAATTCTCACAAATGGTTCCATAATGTCCGGTTACACATGCTGTAAAAGAGGTTTTTCTGGTATAATCGGCATCCGTACTATTTCAAGGAAGTGAAATATGAAGTCATAATTTCGAATATGAAATGAAGTAATAATTCTTAATTCGAATCTTTATAATTTGTCCGTTTTTGTGCAAGGATATGAATGAACACAAGTTTATTTGGTGTAATAGTCGTAAATAACGTAATTTCGACTGCTCGGCTTTAAATTTCGCCATGTTAAAATCTAAATTATTTTATTTGAAGCATTAACCTTCGCCAATATACAATGTATGATGTAGTATCATATGTATTTGAATTTCTTGCAAGGGAAAAAAACAGCAAGCATTTTTGCCATGCATTATTCTACTAATTTTGATAGAAATTTACAGCAGTTTGATGACACCATTAGTGAATTGTTGCATCCATAAATGCATGAACCATTGAATGCAGCACACAGCTGATCACGGCATCTGGGATTGCAAACTGTGCAGTTTTCACCATAGTGTTGAAAAGGACAACCTAAAGATATTTAATATTTTTATCAGCCCAGGAAATCAACTGGAATTAAAAGAAAAACTATTTTGTGCGTGAACGTCACATAAGATTTTATCTACATTTATCCATTGACATTTGAAAGAAAGCAAGAGGGTTACATACCCATCACAAATACTTCACAAATTTCAATAGTAGCAAATTCTTGCTCGTATCCCCTACAGTTAGTATTAATTGGAGGATCCTTTGAATTGTAAAGAGCTATTCCTTCGGTCACTTTATTTACGTTTATAGTCATCTCTGGAAGAGGGCAGGTAGATGTGTCTTGGATACAGACTCTGTCGCCGGAACTAGGTCTTGGGGTATATGATGAGTCATTGAACACAAAGAAAGAAAATCCAACATGTCGATTCACAGCTGGAATATTGAGTACAAATAAATTTTCCTGCATTGTTAAATTGGAGAAGTATGATGATGATATATTTAAATAATAAATTAGGAAACCAAAAACGAACATTTCTATAGACATGAAAACACCTTCAATTATTTTTGTGTGTGTTGATAAGATCTGATGAAACATATGTCTGTGTTAAAATTTGGTTTGGCCAAACAACTAAAATTCTTTTGTGATTTATATTCAATTTCATCTTTTATTAAATAATATAACTCATAAGGACAAATTTTAAAGTAGAGTAGCCCTTACTTGATTTTCGGAAAAAGATTTCCAAAAATGCAACATTGGCAAAGCGTTTTAATGGAAATTTCCACCAAGCCGTGTGATTAGGTTGTTAGCAAGAGTTATACTGCACGTTTCTCCACCTAGATCCTCTTCCAGATAGCCATCCACTGCTTTGTCTGCTAGAAACAAGTCTGGGTACCTATAGGATTCACTCTGAGTGGGTAAACCGGAATACTCCGAGAGATTAGCTAAGTTTTCTACAAATGAAACATAAGGAGATACGAACAATATTCAACATCAAAAGCACACAAAACAATACAAAATAGGATTGACCAAACAAGGACCTCCAAACCATCAGAGGTGGGATAATGCATGTAAATAAGATTAATTAAAGATATAAAAAAAACTACATAACATGCATTCTTTGTTCAATATTTTACTGTTAACGTATTACATTTACCGGTGTATTCTATTAAGCAATTTTCCCGGTAAACTGTGTCCGCTAATTCATGTACATCGCTAACTGTCATGCTTTTATAATTAGTAAATTCAGACAGCGCTAAATCAAAACTACGCTAACTTGTTGAAAACATTTACAGCAATTTAATTAATGGCCCTTCTGTGATTAACAATAGGCCTGATCTGAAAAATATAAAAATGAGAACATAAAATAAAAATTGTCAAGAAAAAAATTATAAAAAAAATGTTCCTATAAATACAGAACAAAAAGAAGTCCACATTTAAAGTAATTTTCAATGAAAATCATATCAGATAATTATCACAAACAATTTATAACATAAATAATTGTTCGAAAAAAATAATTCCGAGGACATGCCTTTATGGCTCACTAAAATGTTCATAGAAAGCAAACAAAAAGATAAGCATCGTTTTTAGCTCACCTGAGCCGAAGGCTCAAGTGAAAATTGAAACTTATGGGGAAACATCCTCAGGTAGGGTAGATTCAATAAGACCAAATTTTTGTAGAGATATATAGGAAAATCCTTTAAAAATCTTCCTCTCAAGAATAACAAAGCCACGATTTATCAAATTTAAAAATAAATGTAAAAGTTTGTTCATTATAATGGCCGACCAAAGTTTTACATAGAAATACATAGGAAAATTCTTTAAAATTTGAAAAAAACATTTCATATTTATATTGACATGGCCGCCCAAAATTTTACATATAAATATATAGGAAAATTCTTTAAAATTCTTCTTCTCAAGAATGAATAAGCCATAATTCATCATATTCATATGGAAGCATGCTCAAGTAGTGTAGATTCAAATTTGTTCAAATCATGACCCTCAGGGGTAGGGCGGGGCAAAAATGGCCGACCAAACTTTTTAAAGATATATATAGGAAAGTTCTTTAAAAATTATTTTCTAAAAAATATCAAATCCATGACTGGTCATGGGACTACTTTTGGATTTAAACTTTACAATAAAAAGCCATGTTCTGGTTTTTCCTACCCTTAGTGCTCAGGTGAGCGATGTGGTTCATGGGCCTCTTGTCTTAGAATTGTAAATAAAATGGTGAAACTGTTAAATTATTTTGAAAGAAATAAATTGAAATCATGGTGTAAAATTTAACATTTAAATTGACAATTAAAATACTAAGAAGATAAAAAAAAATCAAAATTTTGACATTTTAATTTGACTTTATGATCTTTGATGTTTTGGAGATCCATGTTTGCTTTGCTCCTAATTTGTATTGTTTATGGATTTTTGATCTGGTATACTGTTCGTTATCTCGATATGTTTCATTGTACAAAATAATTACCGTAGCATCTTGCTGCAACTGCAAAGAAAAGTACAAGATACATTGCCCTACAGAATGCGTCATTTTATCCCCAGGATATCATTTTCCTAAAAATTGAAGAGATTATTTTTAGAATTTTAATAATTATATTTAAAAAATTAAATGTTTAAATAAGAAAGGAAATTAAGTTATTCATTTGACAAGAATCCATACATTCAAAAGAAAACAAATTAAGAAAACTTTATAAAAAACACACAAAAATGATATTTCTATCAGAAACAAAACTTACCGATAGCTAGAAGAAATAGGATCGAACACGCTTACTCTTATGCTTCAATCCTTTATTATCATTGCTCTCTTCTATATTTTAAATATTACTTCATGGTTTGTTAAAATCGGAAAAAAAGAATTTGAAGTATGTTCCGATGAAATATTCTTCCCTGCTCTGTTCGTATCACGAAACTTATACCATATATAATGTTTTACTGATGTCCTTTTGCGGACAACATCCCTGTATATTTGCAGGAAGGATAAAATACTCAATTTTGATAGATTATATCATGCCAAAAAATAGTGATAGTGATGTCCGTCTGTCTGTTACGCTTTGGGATACACATCTTTTATCCGTACCTCCTCTTATACCACTGATTAATTGAAATTTTATGAGACTTTCACAGAATCTTTTTTACAGAGTGCTTTTGTGAACCTTAAATTCTACCTTTTGAGCAGACATGTTATTCAGGTTTTCTATTAGCAAAACATGGACACTGCCATTCTTTCTATAATATCCAAGGGTTTCCATCTCTTATCATCAGCTTCTCCTATACAACTGAATAAAATTTATCGATACTTTCAGATTCTTCATTACATAATGTTATTACGCCTCTCCTATTTTACTTTTTGATGTGACACTTATTTCGAATTTACCAGAGCAAGACATGGACTTTCCCATTATTATCTAAATGGAAGAGAGGTAACCGTATTATTTATAAGTAAGCTCATTGTTCACAGTACCTTGATTTTTTGGTCATCAGCTCTATTTGTTTTAAAAAAAAAATTATAGCACTTTTGTTTACAATGTATAGAATATGATCAGATGAATGTGATAACAATCATATACAGCCATGTATTTAAGTGTAAGTTGTTCCTCATTATTTACATATTAAGTAAAAGAAAAAAAAATATGAAAAATATGTTTTGGAGACTGATACTCTGTTCAAGTTCACTGATATATAACGAGTGGACATGGCCTATAATTTTATTATTATTAAAATGGATGTGAATTAAACATAGATTTAAACTTGTCTCTCATATTAATCTTGTTGATCATAATTATCTCGCATATATAAAAGCCTGAACGTTTCTCGTCTCAAAAAAAGGTACAAAAGAACAGTAAGATAGTTTAGGTATAGTCGGGAAACTCGGATTACTTTAAATTTGAACCTATGCACGTATCATCAGATAAAAAAAATAATTATTTTGAGAACATGAAAGTCCTTGAACATTAAACACGCATCAATTTTTGTCACAAACATCCATAACGCTTTTACACGAATTATTTATCCCCATATATTCTATTTTTATGAAAATCACCGGATGCACAGCTGACTTGGAGTGTTTTAGTGCTTAGCACGGCAATATTTATTTAATTGTGTCTATTATTGTCTTCTGAAATTTATCTTCTTTCCTGTTTTTCGTTTAATATTAAAAAGCATATACTGGTATTTGTTATTTTATTAACAGTTTCGATGGCCTTACTGAACGGCGTGTCTTCTAAACATTGTTAAGAATACTCAAAGTAGTTGGCCATTAATGCATAGAGGACCCGTAATAAGATTTTAAAAAACAGTAGTACAAGATTAAAGGCAAATAAAATGGTTCTTGTGAGATTGCGAGATTAGATATTTTAATATATTATGGCAACATTAAATTGTAAAACAAAATATATAAACTTTATAGAGTAAAACCTTTATTTTTACATAGATTCAGTCAAAAAGTAAAATATACATTAATGGAATTTCAATAAAGATGTAAAGTTTCATTAAAAACAGCAGTATGAGAGGAGTTGAGGATGTGACACAAAGCGTAACAGACGGACGGACGGAAATAAACGATTATATACCCTCCCGCTTTTCAAGGTATAAATATACAAACTTTATAAAGTTAAACCTTTAATCTTGAAAAGCGGGTTGTATATAGTGATCACTATAGAACACCAAAGTTTTTAAATTATCGTCTGTTACGCTTTTTCTCTTATCCGCAACTCCTGTTACTACTGAGTGAAATTTAATGAAACTTTCACAGAATCTTTATTACATATTGCCATTGTGCACCTCCTATTTTACTTCTTTATTCGACACGTATTTTACGTTCCCAGAGTAAAACATGGACATTGCCATTTTTTGTTTACCTATGACGTCACATAATAGAAGCTTCGGGATAACATTTGATTGGACGAGTTATTCCTCTTTACACATTACCGTAAAACAATATATAGCAACACATCGACATTATGGGAGGCGGGGGGTATCATTTAGTGAGCTCATTGCTCACAGTACCTCTAGTTTTTACATTGATTCAGTAACGAAATATCATTTAGAATTTCAATCCAGATGTGTTATCAACCTTGTACGATTTGACACAAACTACATCAGAACAATATACTATTTTAAAGGTATCATTTAAGTTAATCAGGTTGTTATAATGATCACTATAGAACACTTAATTTTTTGAATTATCTCTTAAGTATCAAATGTTTACTATAAATAACTTCAGTTATCATAGTGTCAAAGTGTCAATGAAGTTTTCTTAAATTATCTATAATGTTCTATAGTTTATCATGAGTATTACCAAGTACAGTGTGGAATGTACTTGGTGTTGTTCTAAAGAGTTTCAAGAAAAAAACCCTGCGTAACAAGTGGAGTATTTGCTCAAGCCATGTTTTCATTAAATCACATAAATAACAAATTCTTTCATTCGCTATGCTATGAGAATTACAAGACTCTGAGATGTCTGCCCTGCTCACATTCGTTCTGTCACAATTCTTTATCGTCACACATTATGGGTAGTTGTAAATCTTAGGAGTCCCCTGTAGGGTTTACCTGCCCATCGTGTCGGCGAATTAAAAAATCCAGAAAATGGGCAAGTCTGTACCCTTTTAATACCATTTTAATGAAACTGGTTGCTTCAGAAACATTGCGCTGTCTGTATGAGAGATAATGAAGAAGTAGTGGCGGTTGACTACTGCTTGGTCTGTAATAAGAACTCTGCAAAACATGTTCAAAGTGTCACACAAAAAAGGACTGACAACCCGTGACCATAAGATGTGTTCTTTAAGAGAACTTCAATCGAAAACAATTGCTTAGTTTTCCATGTCAAATTCGATATGTTCAAAACACTGTGATAGACCAGTTCAACTCTTTTGCGACGACCACGGAGTTCTTTGTTGTGGGTTGTGTGGAGGAACTGAACATGAAAAGATGCCTGAATGTTAAGAGAACGCTCTGAAGGAACTGAGAAAGCACGATGTAGATGCATTGGTCATGATATAAAAACACACCAAAAAGAACGGGTATCATTTAAGAAAAATCGAGAAGCAAAATATACCAAACTAGAAAACATTTCACATTCAATGATATGCTTTGAGAATTTCGAATGAGTATTAAAAAGGAATTGAAGAGAAATGAGGAATACGAATTGTGTAGATTAGACAAGGTAATTGCATTAACATTGGAGAAAGAAATAAATTCACTATCGGAAAAAAATTCAATGCAAGTAGCACTTATCATCTCTATCACGTGATTGTCAACAGAGAGATAAACAATTTGACACGTTATCAAGCGTCAAGCACGCGTCCAAGATAGATGAGCATATAAAGGCAATGGAAAATGAAGAAAAAGAATTGAATGTCATGGCAAAACCTTTAAATAGATTTGACGAAGTAAATAATTCATGCAGCAAATCTATTATACAGCAGATGTACTAAAGTTTGTTTCATGGAAATCAGTGGCCATGTAAAATGTAATATGTAAAATGGATGTTGAAATTTCAGAAGTACAGTACAAAGACGTTGCTAGAGATAAAGAAAAAGGGCCTTGTACGATGGAACTGTTCTACCAAACGGACATTTCACAATGGCGGATAGTAGTAACAGACAATGCCTTATCTACAGCAAAACAATTATCTTCCTAAAGAAAACGGAGACTGATTTCCGACCGTGATAAGAAAAGAGTTATTTGTAAGCTGCCAGGGAGAGAAATACATACAAGTTATGTAATTAGGCGAATTCAAAATATTAAGAACTATGTCAGTTACCGGACATTGCTATGGATTAGGAATATGTAGACGTTATTCAAATGATATTTGTTCCCATGCCATTACTTAACTAGATTGTCATGGAAAAGAAAACAACAAAATTCCAACAAAAAAGGGCGTCTTTCATTTGATTGTGAATCATGAAGGTCATATTGTTTACAGTGGGTGATTTTCTCACATTGTCACGGCCATATCATAAGATGGAAATGTTCTATGGAAGTACAGCAGCACATGTCTTGCAAGACCTTCTGGATTTGATATTGACTCAAAAGGAAACATACATGTGGCTGGAAAAGATAGCAAAAATATAAGTAAGGACTTATCAAATGTTACCATCGTCGAAAATATTTATTTTCCTTTATTCTTAAAAATCAACGAAAGATAGAAAAAAATGTTTCTTGATATCATACGCGCTGGAACTGAAAGACTATGATATGGAGAAGCCAGGGTGGATGACTTGAACTAAATTACATGTAATCAAAAGAGACATTTACTTTTAGATTTATATCCAGTTAGGAAATGTTGTCCATGTATACCCTTTTACATGATCAATAAAAGAACTATTTAAATAAACCGAATTTGGCTTCAAATAGGCAAGTTATTTTGGATTCCATCAAATTTACTTTAGAGCTGAAAGGAAATGTTGAAATGACAATGTTTCTTTTGGAAATGCCACAATGCAGACATTTAAATTGAAGTTATCTGAAAAAAATTCCAAAATGTGCAATAGGATATCATTATTATTTACTTGATAATCACTTACTATTACTTAAGTGAAACATTTCTTTAATTTCCATTGACAGATTTTGTTAAAGATGGACATATGATACACCTTTTTTAGTACATGCACTGTAGATCTCCTAATAAAAATAAGCTATACTATTTAGAAAATTTTAAAAAGACATATTTTATATGTAAATGTTACAAATGAATTAAATATGTTTCTTGGAATGATCAATGTCTGGTTAAAATATTTGAATAGGAATAATAACGCTCAGATATGAGACGAGAAAGAGGAAAAAATCTTTCAGTATGTACCATATTTAATACAAAACCGTATTTTCATAGATGAGTATTTTGTCGTTTGTATATTCTTTTTGTGTCATATCATTATATTTATGGACATCCCTCCCTAAATCCGCTCGACCACTGATGTAACGCACGGTGTCCTCATTTGGATCCAATTCCTTGCTACATTTGTCGTAACTTTTCTTGCTTAATCTTTTCCACTTTCTTCTTCTGCAGAGTATCTGAACCCCAATGCTGACAAGGGTGACAACAAACAGCGTTGACCCGGCGAGGCTAATTAAAGACGGGGTCATCATAACCCAGTCTTCTGCAAAATTCAAAATTTATTTATTAATAATATATGAATAAGTTATTATGTTATTTTTTTCTGTTTTCTTGTAATATATTATTTAATAAGTATTTATCCTTTGAAAACATTATTTGAATTATTTATAACAGAGATTCTTTTATTATAAAAGAAAGTAGAATTCAATTATACATGTATACTCTTTTAAGATAGATAAAGATTTACATTTTGAAGAAAAATGAACAATTTTCAGCAAATAATAATGAGAAAAGTTTTAATTTTTTTTTTTAATTTCTATTTATTCTTGGAACAATTTTCTTTCCATATCTCAAAGCAAGATATTAAGTTTGATGTAAAAACATTGCCCTAAAAATCACTATCTAGTCAATGGTCAGGTTAGAAAAAATACGAAAATTTTTAAAGTTTTTTAATAACACATTTTTATGTACATGTGTTTTGAAGGAAAATTTTTCTTACCTAATGCCACTTGTGATGTGAAACCTGTTATTAGATTTAAGTTTAGAATTAACATGTTTATAAATGGCAGAGAAAACTATTTCTTTAGTGGGAAAAGATTAATTGAATTTAATAATTACTTTTAAAATGCTGCAGTCTTAAAATCATTTGGTCTTAAAATTCTTTGGATTGTAAGATTTTTTCTTTAATTTTCATTACGGTTTGCATAAAATGTTTGTTTTAACTTTAAAAAAAGTTACTTTTCATGCAGAGCGGTTCACTCCATCCCGACTGACAACCCTCCTCACACGTCCCGTCTGTCTTTGAGCAGGCTGTTTTGTTTCTACAGTGACCACAGTCAAATACGCAGTTTGGACCATATTTATGATCTTGACATTCTGAGAAAAAGTGTGAACTTAATCATTTCAAAAATATATTCTTCGTTGCTTTATCTGATACTAACTATTGCAACAGTAATCTTAAACAAAAAGCATGCAATTAGCAAAATTTCTTCTTTTTTATATATGAAAGTATGTTTTCTTCAAGATAACACTTTCCCGAACCATTCTAGGAATTTTAAGTCTTCAGAAGTCTTTATTAGTTCAGAAGTGAAAAATAAATACATCAATAAAATAATCAGTACAAACGTTCCCCAGCTAAAAGGAGGTACATGTAACATCAGTATCCTTGTTTGTAATCATCATTTACAATGAATTACAAAGGAACATAAATGTAATTCTTCAAGTCGTCACAATATTATTATGCAATTAGGCTACCACTTTTGGTAAGAATGAATTATTCTTAATTTTGTAATGCATTCAATGACATAAAAGAATTATTCATTCTTGATATACCATCGCATTTGGCACCTTGCCAGTTCTCTTTGCATCCATGATGACATATCCCAGAATGCTCATCACAGTTTGTTCCCTTGAGACATTTTCCACAGACTTCCTCACATATAGTTCCGTAACGTCCACTTACACATGCTGTGAAAATAAAACTGGGTCATTTATTTGTATCACAAGATCACAAAAGATATTTTAAAAAAATCTGAATCTTTAATATATAGAGAGTGTGTGGGGTAGTTTGAATCTCTTTACTTTTATAATTGATCCAAGAAAATAGGAAAGATGTAGAAAAAATTTGAAGTATGTGTAAACTCATTGTTGGAAAATCTTTTATATGAAGATATAAAATCAAAAAAAGTATTGTTTTATAGAAATTATCCCATTTTTTAAAACTATGTATGTAGGATTATTTAGCAGCAGTGTTTAATAAAAACAATTCTCGCTCCTTTAAACAAAACATACCGCAATGTTTTGGAGTCATAAATGCGTTGCTGCATCCATTGGTACAAGAACCGTTTAACATGTCACAATGTCTATCCCGACATCTTGGACTGCAAATTCTACAGTTCATTCCATGATGTTGAAGGGGACAGCCTGAAAACATTGAAATTTTTCATCAATCAGATAAATCATTATGATTTATAATGTCTGACTTGTTAGATCTGAATTCTGAAGAAGAATAAAGGATATTTTACTAAACATGTAGAAAAACATACCCATTACAAATACTTCGCATATTTCAATTGTGGCAAATGTCGGTTCATAATCCGTGCAGTTTGTGTCTAGGGGAGGATTCTTTGAATTATACAAGGCTATACCTTGAGTCACTTTATTGACGGTTATATTCATCTGTACTTGAGGACAGGTAGATGGATCATGGGAATAGACTCTTTCTCCAAAACCATAAGGTGGTGTGAAGGACGAATCGTTGAATACATACACAGAGAACCCTGTGTGCCGATTTACAGCTGAAATGGTTTGCAAAAGGAACTATACTTGAAGTTGTTTTCTCATTTCTAGTTATGGTATATGTAGGTTAGCAAATGTACACAAAAATCTAAACGCTCATTAGGTATAAACTGGTAATGCATGTATTCATCGTTTTCCACTCAATAATCAAATTTCAAGGAAGAAATAAATTTTAGTATCAGCATTGATAGTCCCTTTATACATCTATCAGCTAGTTATTCTTCGAGAAAGAGCAAATTGATTGAGACAATTTTTTTTAAATCTTACTTGAGTTTCGGAAAAATATTGTCAAATAAGCTACATTGGCCAATCGTTTTAAGGGGAATTTCCACCAAGCCGTGTGAATGTGGGAGTTGGCAAAAGTAATGCTACAGGTGTCTTCACCAAGATCTTGTTGAAGATATCCATCTACTGCTTTGTCTGCTGTGTACACGGCCGGATATCTGTATGATACGCTTTGTGTCGGTACGCCTGAATACTTGGGGAGTTGACTGAGGTTTTCTACAGAGGAAAATATAATATTACAATAATAAATGATATGGTTTTATCTTTTCAATTAATTTAATTACATGTATACTCATTGCCTACATGTGATATTCCAAAGCCTTCAGATAAAAAAAATCAGAAACTATGAAACAAATCGTTATGTAAGTAGGTTATATGTAACTTTGAGACTTCAATTAAAAAAAATGTCCACAAGCCAAACATACAATTACCAGAGAGAGTTCGAAAGCAAGTACGTTTTATTGATTAAAATATATTAATAATGCATTTGAAGTAGACGTTTGCAATGACTATTATAAATCCGTTTCAAACTGAAAGCGCATTATATTTATGCTGATTTTTTCCTAATAATTTCTACTTTTATTCGACCACATTGGATATGACAGGTCGACAAAAGGATGCATATATCTTTTTTCCGATGGTATGATTAGCAAAATTAATGATTACGAGAAAAAAACCCCAACAACATCGGAATAACTTTAATGTATACATCTTTTGAAAAAAATGCTAACTTAAAAAGCACATCGTTATATAACAGATGTCAAAATTACAAACAGGTAATATTAGTGTAGTATTGTTTTCTCATCTATATAAAATTATTATACGAAATCTTTACCAAAACATTCTGTTGCAACAACAAAGAGCACTGAAAGGTACAATGACTTGTTAAAATCCTCCATTTTCCACTGAATTTTTCGTCCTTAAAATTCGTAATGTTTTTGACTCATAATTGCAAAGCACACACTTTCGAGACAGTGAAGGTAACATATAATGTGAACGAAATGCCACATTTCTGAAATTATTAAATCTAAACTGCGCATTTATAAAATAAACAAAAATAATTATGCTATTAACACGAATGTCTTTACAATTGCATTTCTACAAAAAGGCCAAAAGAACCTTCCTGATTCTTTGCATTGATATATAATTATAAATATTTATGTTTACCTTGTTATTATGATTGGTACTTATATTGAACATGATTGTTTTGTAAGTTTAAAGGGATGTCTAACACTTTCATAAATTTCTTTAGAACCGAAACCAAGGGTTTCCAAAGGATATCTCACCAAAAAAAAATTAATTTCCTTTTTTATTTATTTGAAATGTTTACAGAGATAGTACATGTATTTCACATGTTTTATTATTTGGATGACATTTTAAGGAAAAGTTAATCACACTTCAAAAGAAAAAAAAATAATTTAATCGATTGCAAACTTTCATATCTACGTAGTCACATAAAGAAATGAACTTCCTTGTATTCAATGAATGTTAACAATATTTAATTATCTGTCAATTGTACGTTTCTCATTATCACTCAAAACATTTAGTATTTTTTAGCCATTTACTGGTGTCAAATACATGTACGTTGATATGTGTTCCTAAATGTACAGTGTTCTATCTTATTTCATGTCTAGAAATGCTGAAATAATAACAATACAGTGCATCAGATTCATAGACCTCCACGACGGTATGCAATAAGTAAAACAGAAAGAGCTAGAAAAGGCAAGAGGTACTTAGGGCCTTCTTTCGCCGGGAGAATTTCTGAAAAATCAAAACTGCTCAGTTTAGGTTGAAATTGTATTTATCATTTGGAAAGTTTGTCACCATATTTCTAATGAACATGAAGTCATTTTCCCTTTAGTCAATGCAAGGTAACGTCATAAAATGCGCCATTTTTTGTCAAATCCTGTAAATTTCTTTAGAAATGGCCTAAAATTGAAGCGTTTAAAAATTATTTAGTACAACCCTGATTCAAAATTTGGAATTACATGATCTTTCAAAAAGATTTGTTTGTGAAGAGCAAAAGCCATGTTTTAATTTTTGGATCGAGGACTGTAGTTATACGAGGGTTGTTCGAAAAGTTCGTGGACTATGTCAATCTTCGTTACATTATCTACTGAAAATAAAAAAAACCACAGTTTAACATGTAAAAATATTTATTTTGATTATGTGTGAAGTTTAATTCTATTCGATTTAACAAAAAATAATTTACTTAATTTTTAAATCAATATGTTTTGTACCCGCGTAGCACATTTAACAGGGATGTAAAGTTAAAACAAACCGTCAAGAATTTCTTAAAAAAAAACAAAAACAAAAACAAAAACCCAAAACAAAAAACTATCCCTATACATTTCAGACAGTATAATCCAAAGCCCACTCATTAAATCCTTTTTCTAATACCTGACATTTACTTTTTACATGTAAGAAGTGCTCTTGTTGTTTATGTTCCTTTGTTTATGATTCAATTTCTTTTATTACTTAACTCTGCTTACACAGGATACGCAACTCTCAAGCGCTCATGTCTTAATTTCCTTTACGTTACAACTTTTAAAAGTTTTTGTTCAGATATCTATAGTTAAACCGTAGCTTAAAAGATTGTCCTCATCTGATTTCGTGTCTCGCACTAAAATACTGCTTGCACTATTTGTACACATACATGCACAACTCACTTGTGACATATTTTCTTGACTCAACCAACATTTTTAGAGTTTATTTAGGGTTTTTCCCTGTGTAAACCACAAATTTGCATGGTTATTTGCTGCTCCGTGACGTTCTAAAACGTCATCGTTTATGTCGTTTTTGATAAGGACTACAGTGTACTTATCTTTTCAAGTTGATTTCTTTTAAACAAAGCAAACGTTTAAGCTAAAAATGTGATAAAAGAATCGATGTAACAACTCTTAATTTTAATTTCTAGGTTGTTTTTTTGTTTTGCTCCATTTTACAGAGATACGATTACAGACATTATATAGTGTATTAGCTGTAACTTACTTAATTTTGACCTGCTCCGCGATCCAATTTTTGTATTTTTTAAATCTGGATGATAATTTTTGAAGAAATTGTAATATATTGGGAAAAAAATAATACAAATCATTTGGATTTATTGTAAAAATATTTCTACCAAATTTAAATAACATATGTCAAATAAAAAAAAAGATATAACAGTTGTCCACGAACTTTTCGAACAAAACTCGTATTTATATTTTTTCTGAAAGTATTCAAATACGCGTAGCCTGTTTTTTGCAAAGTTTCAGAATATTGCATTGTCACAAAGACTGTTTTCTAATACCTCTATTCTCTGAAAGAAATTTTGTCATAGCAATAGAGAGCACAAAGTTTCTACATATTTTGACATACCAAATAGGGCAGAGAGTGATAGTCAATTAATTGATGTGAGGACAAGGCCTTTATATGCGTAAAATGAACCTACATGTAACTCTTTACAATCCATTACCAGTTTACTGACGTCTAAATAAGACTGAAAATTATTGAAAGAGTGTTAAGCAATCGAACAACTAATCCCCGTTAAAAAAAAAATTGAAGGTAAATAGCTATAACTTCCGAATTATCAGTCATTAAATAATACATACAATCATGTATATAGGATTTCTCATGATTTGCAGTTAGATATGATTAATTTTGTCCAACAATTTGTGTGTTTTTTAATCCCGAACCCTGGGATTAAAATAAATGAGTTGCATAAAAATCACTCCTATCTACAAATCATTGGAGATTTCTTTTATCCTATCTTATACATTAATATCAATGTTTACACTGTTTTTGATATGTTACTCCACTTCATTTCAATTCATCTTTCTAATGCAAAACCGTCACAATTACTGTTAGATATCAAAAAATATTCAAGGATTCATATCCACGGGGAAGAGGAGTAAACATGGGATGGATAAATCAAGATATCAACAGTATTCAACTTCAAAAGTCTATTAAACAAAACAATATTATCACAGATAATTCAATTTATGCCGCTATGAGAAATATATTATATTTACACCTTAGGATAACTCCACGTATCCATGCGCAGTCTGCGGGATACTAGTATGCGCCCTTATCGCAGCACAATTATCATATAACCTTTCATTGCGAAATCACAACCTTTGCTTTTCTTGACAGAGTAACTCGGTCAAAATCCTTGATTTTGTTGCGCAATTTTTGTTATTTGTACCTTTTACCTATGTACATGTAACCTGTATTGTTTAATATTAGGTGATCCCCCTTAATGATTTGTTATACATTTTACATTATGTCATTGAATTAAATAACATATTCGACAAAACTGCATATCTGTGTTTAGTTATGTTATTTTCACTGCACTATCAGGCTGATATTTCTCATAGGAGGCATAGAAAGATCACGAGCAGGGTAAACACAGACCTCTAAAACACCCCTTGTTGTAACAGATTTCCTGGGTCATTCCCTCTTTGTGCTTTTTGTCATGATCGGCAAATAATATCTCAATGCAGTGTGTAAATGACTTAGCAATCAGAAGACATATAAATGAGAGTGTAAGAACTTACGAGATGATGAATATATCAAGACAGATGATATTCATGCTTCATGAACTTGTATATCAATAAATAATCTATTTTTATAAATTGTTCAAACATGGTCCATGTTCTTATGTACCGAATAAACTATGGCCTAACTATAATCAGCATCATAATACGGATAACTAGCATTAACTCGACAAGCAAGGGAAGCATTCAAATCAACATTTTGGCTGTACAAAAATTAGTCCCCTGTACTGTATAAACCCAAATGGCAGCTGATAAAGGTAAATTGATGTATACGTAAGATACATGTAAGTTGATGATTGAAAGTCATCACGTTTATCATAAGGCTTGGCTGTTTAGGTTACTTCTAAATGTCGACGTCTAAGTGTATGTGAAATATACAGATATGAAACAGATGTCAGACAATGTGGTATCTTTTAAACGAATATCCATGAGATAAGCGGCTGAACGACACATTTATTTACCAATAAATCTCAACAAAGCGTCTTTTCTGTATGATGAATTTAATTATATTTGTAACAGTTACATAAATTTCCTTACAGTTGACACAAACAGATTTCTATGTGGTTTTTCTAGACCGTACCATAGGTAGAAAATTGCGAGGTGGAACATGAAAGGAGGAGTCTTCAGTATGCAGATATTATAACAGAATAGGAATAGAGACTGGTTTGTTTGGCTGTTTCCAGGTAAGCTGTAGCGATTTCCCAGCGCAATCACAGTGGAAGCTGCTCACGTGATTTGGTGTATCAAGAATTAGCAAGGGGACTGGGAGAAGCAGCAGAACATTCATCGTGCTCGATATGGCACCGCTAAGATGAACTCTGCTGGAAGTCGGGTAGTGGGTTGGCCACCACTGCTGATCCACCAATTGAAGGATGTCATGGTTTAGAATCGTAACATCTGGCTAAGATTGGAGACATGACGATCGGTACTGACATGCCAGCACCAGGGGCGGAAGTTACGGAAAGGTACAGACATGCTTAAGAGTGCCATAAGAATCCTCATTTCAAAAGGTCTACGGTCAATACAATGACTCGTCAGGAAACACAATTTATCAGTGAGTAAAATTCTGACTGACGTTTTATATACTTATTGTTAGTCCATTATTTAAACACTGAATTGACGACGGATTTTTCCTTCATCCCGATCATGAGAAGGAGCACACAGCGGATATGACCAGTTGTCA